TCAAGGAGCTGCACTCCCTAGACATCAAGGAGCTCCACAACTTGCTGCTCCTCATTTGGGAGCCCATGCAGGTCTGGGCACCCCCTTTGGAGTCCTTTTGGGCGCCCCACACAAGAGAGCCCATCATGAGAGACCTTCACCTCCTTCTACAACTCCTCTTACTTCCCATGATAAAGACCCTCATCTCCAAGAAGATAATGACGAAAATCAAAGCATGGAGTATGAGAGTCATTTTCATGATCATTCCAAATGAGCCCCCAATCATTGGGACAAGAAAATTAAGGAAGTGCAAAATCAATTGGGTAATGTCTTTAACGCCATGAAGGCGCAGAAACCTGAGACAATAGACTACCTCGTAATACGGACAAACACGCCTTTCAAACCTAACGTGGCGAACTACCTCCTCCCTCAAAATTTTAAAATGTCATCCGTAGAGACCTTTGACGGGACGAATGATCCACTTGATCACCTCGAAACCTACAAAGGCCCTAATGCAACTGCATAACGTCCCCAACGAAAATTATGTGTATGACATTCTCAACTACTTTGAAGGGATCAGCGAGACAATGGTTCACCAAACTCACCCCGGCCTCCATAAGCTTCTTCGCCAAACTGAGCAGATCATTTATGACACAGTTCATTGGTGGACGCCGCCAACAAAAGCCTGTCATCCATCTGCTCAACATAAAACAGGATCGAGACGAGAGTCTGAGGAGTTATCTCACTCGTTTTAATGAGGAGGCCCTCTAAATCGAGGAGCCCAATGACAAAGTCACCATGAAAGCCTTTCTGGGAGGCCCCCGCTCATCCAAATTTTTTTTTTTAGTAATGAAACGACCACCAAAGAGCATGCCAGAACTATTGGCAAATGCTCAAAAATATATGAATGCTGAGAAAATCAACAGGTCTAGGGAGGTAAATCATCTCACAGATCACCAGAAGCTTGACCTGTCTTGAATCATCTCGCAGATTACTAGAAGCTTGACCTACCTCTGCACTGTTGTCACACAAGCAGCTTATCTCCAGCTTAGTGACTCTCTCGCGGGTCGTCCAAAAAAGCTTGGTCTCTACACTGTTTTCAAACAGACAGCTTATCTTCAGCTTAACGACTCTCTCACGGGTCGCCAAAAAAGCTTGGCCTTTGCACTGTTCTCTAACAGATAGTCAATCTCTAGCTTAGCGGCTCTCTCACGGGTCGTCAAAAAAGCTTGGTCTCTGCACTGTTCTTAAACAGGCAACCTATACCTCAAGCTTAAATACTCTCTCATGGGTCGCCAAAAGCTAGGTCTCAAAAGGTGTAGCTCTCTCACGAGTAGTTCTTCAACTCTGTCTTTTCTCTTGCACAAGCAGCCTACTTCTCTCTCCAGGTAATTATGTGAGATATTTTAATATTTGGAATAACATTGTTTCTGTCATCACAAGCAGGCTCTCCCAAGGTAGCCCGAGGCTCGCTTAAATCACCCAAGGCATTCCCCCAAAGCGCCTGAGGCACCCCAGGCTCACCCAAGGTGCCCAAATGAGGCAGCTCAGCACCTGAAGAGATGCTTGATCTTATGTGCTCGCTCAAATGAGGCAGCCCGGTACCTAGAGAGGTGTATAACACTCCCTGCTCACCCAAACAAGGCAGCCCAATACTTGGAGAGGTGTCTAATCCTATGTACTCGCCCAAACGAGGTCGCCCAACACCTAGAGAGGTGCCTTATCCTATGTGTTCACTCAAACGAGGCGGCCCAATACCTTGAGATGTGCCTGATCCTATGTGCTCACCCAAACATGGCAGCCCAGCACCTAGATAGGTGTCTGACGCTCTCTACACGCCCAAACGAGGCAACCCAACACTTGGAGAGGTGTCTGACACTCTCTGTTCCCCCAAACAAGGCAGCCCAGCACCTGGAGAGGTGTCTGATCTTATGTGCTCGCCCAAACGAGTGGCCCAACACCTGGAGAGATGCCTAATCCTATGTGCTCGCCCAAACGAGACAACCCAGCACCTAGAGAGGTGCCTGACGCTCTTTGCACATCCAAACGAGGCAGCTCAGCACCCGAAGAGGTGTCTGACGCTCTATGTTGGCCCAAATGAGATAGTTTAGCACCTAGAGATGTGTTTGGCCACCTTTGCTTGCCCAAACGGGGCAACCTAGCGCTGCCTACCCCCCAAAATTGCACAAAATAGCTCCAACAGTGTCCAGATTAGCGCCTGAAGTGGCGCCCGGATCCGCCCCTGCACCAAGTTGTTGCCCAGCTCCCCTGTTGCACGTCTATTGGCCTAGGCAGCCCCAATTCTGGCCTGCACGCGGTTGTTCGTGCGCCCAGCCTGCTCACTATTTTGATCATAAATTTTGCTCCATAACTCCAAACAGGGGCTTATTATATATCAAATCGAAACTCTCAAATAAAAAGTCCAAAAAAGGCTCAGAAACAACTGGTTTAGCCTCCTGAAGTTTTTTTTTAAAAAAAAGAAATCAGCTCGCCCAGGACACCCCCATGCTCGCCCAAATTAGTGCCTGCTTTCCCAAATCGCTCGTCGAGTTTTCTGCTCGAAAGTTTGACCGTAACTTTTGCTCTGTTACTCAAATTGAGGCTTATTATATATCAAATCGAAGCTCTTGGCGAGCCGTACAAGACTCACAACCATTGGTTGTGAATGATGCTGTAAAAATCCCCAAAACGGCTTAGAAATAGATGTTTTGGCTTCCCAAAATTTTTTCAGTTGCACCGATTAGCTGAAAATTCAAACTCAACCGAATGCCCTCCTTTCCAAGTTCCATTGGACACAAGACATTGGGGGGCAAATGACGTGCCAAGCCCAAGGGCCCAATTCCAATAGGTCCAACTAGCCAAGCCCAAAGGAGTCTACACCCGATCAATTTCATTAGGTTTCATGAGTTACATCAGTAGAGGAGCATGTAAGGTCATTCAATAGCCTCCTCATTTACCACCATGGAGTAAGGCTCATCATAGCCACATTGGAGTAAGAAGGCTTATCCTAGCCACCTGGGAGTCAGACTCATCAAGAAGCTACGCCACGTCATCAAGAGAGCATCAAGAGTCTTATCCTCTTCCCCTTGGAAAAAGTCAACATCCACGTCATCATTTGACCGAATCCCATGGAGAGCACCCCAACTGCCTAGCCCGTTGAGGAGAAGTCGTGAGCTCCACTAGAATAGTTATGTAGTTGTTAATACCTCGCCCAAATTTGTTAGGAGGGCGACTATAAATTGCACGCTCCACCAACACCTAGAGGGAATCATACTTTACCTGAGTACGACTTTCTCATCTCCCTCAAAGCTTATACTCTCTGCTCCTCATACCCTTGAGTTAATAAAATACCAGATAACCAGAGCCATTAAAGAGTGGACGTAGATCAAGCTGACCGAACCACTATAAATTGCATGTGTCTCTCCATCTCCTGATATTATTTTCTTGCATTTATTTTTCATACTTAACAGGTGGTGTCCAAAACTATTTTGTGCATCATTAGATATGATTGTGTTGTTGTAACATTGCTATAAAGAGAAAATAAGAAAAAAGAGTAACGGTGAGAGAAATAGGGGCAGAGAGAATGAGAGAGAGAAAGAGAAAATAGGGGGAGAGAGACAAAAAAAATTAAATCAAATTTTTATGTATTTGAAAAGAAAATAAATTATCAATGAGAGAGAAAAAATAGGGGGAGAGATAGAAAGAGTAACGAAGAGAGAGAAAAAATAGGAGAGGGAGTGAAAGAATAATGGAGAAAGAGAGAGTAACGGTGTGAGAAATAGGAGAGAGAATGAAAGAATACGAATTATGAATAATTTAAGAAAGAGTAAGTAAGCAAAAAAATTTAAATGTCATTTGAATTTTATATCTAATGACAAGATATTTTATTAAAATTGAACCTAATTTATCCATGTACTTTCTCTCAAATAAGTTTAAAAAAATATACCGACACAAAAAAAAATATTGTTATTTTTTTGATAATTTGGTTATGATTGAATCCCATATGAATTCAAAGTGTCTCACAATTATTTGAATTTCATTGATGATTCTTGATCATTAGGGCATCGACAACATGGGTAAAAACTCTATTAGATGAAAAAGCAAAATAGTTGTGTGATAAAAGTGTTACGATAGTTGAGTTTGATATTTGATAATTCAAAGATCTCGAATTTAATTCCATTCTACACCTACATAGAGATAGATCACCCTTATCCTTTTCATGATATGCTCTAATTCAGCTCAAGCCACCATGACTTGTCATTGAACTCTTGTGAGCCTCGACATGAACCCAAAAAAAATCAAGTGGTTACCATTTGGCAAATTCACCCATACTCACCGAGTAACCCACTTAAACATAGATGTGCGTCCTGATGGACGTACTATCGACAAAAATTTGACGAAAACCTATTAGAATAGATTTAGATTTTTAGCCGGACAAACGTATACTTTTCTTTAATTTCATTTAATGATAGGTTATGTAATTTAATAAGGAATCCAACTATTCAGGGTGAATGCATTTTTATACGGCGTTTTTGAATCTAGTTTCAACTTTGTCCCTAAAACCATATTAAGGGTAACATGGCTCCAAAATTATAATCAATAGATACACATTTTTTTCAATTGTACTGAAAAAAAATGACAAACACATAAAGACAAACACAAAAAAACAAATTTCAAGAGGTAGTTTAAGTGGTAAAGAGATAAAGTATAAATATAAACGTTTTGAATTTGAATTTTGACAATTTATTAAGCTTAGAGCATGAGAGAGTTACCCATCGTGAATACTCTAGTTCCGGTGTGGATAGTCTACTTTTAACCGGACAGGGAAGGAGATTAGTTCAAGTGCGTGTAAGATGATCCGGACACCCCTAAATATTGAATTAAAAAAAAAATACATAAAGAAATGTTAAAAAAATACATAAACACATGGCACAAAGCCTCAGGGCAGAACACACTGCAAAGTTAACTTGCTCAAGAATAACCTTGGCTGATCAGCTCAACCCAACCTTTCTTTCATATCTATGGAGGAAGAAAAGCATCACCACTGGCTAGAAGTTAGCCCACTCATCATCGGCCTTATCGGCGTCATGGCCGGAGCTCTCATAATTGCAATTTTTCAGTGCATTATTAGTTGTTGCAGCAATAATCACACAGCCCAACTCCAAATTAATGTAAGAACTAGTGATGACCAAGTCGAAACTCCGCCTAGCAGCAGCAGCAACAGCAACAGCAACAATTCAACGGTGCAATTGATCGGATCGTGTCGATACAGTGAAGAATATTGTAAAGAAGAGACGGTATGTACTGTGTGTTTGGTTGAATTCAAGGAAGGTGGTGAGGTTTGTATACTACCTGAATGTACACATACATTTCATGTGGCATGCATTGATAAGTGGCTACATTCACACCCTAATTGTCCACTTTGCCGTGCCCATACAATGCCTCGGCCACCAGTAGTAGCTTTACCAGATTCCGGTGGTGGTGTTCTGCCATCGGAGCTGTATGGGTTGCCGGATTTTGGTGGTTAACGATTTTTATCTCTTTTGTAGATGGTGTAAGTTCTTAAGTTTTTCTTGCTTGTATTGGTGAGTGTTTTGATTTAAGGGGTCATGGCCCCCCTTTGTCCCAAAAGAAGCTTTGGCATTGATTTCTCTATCGTATATTAATTAGGACTCAATTATATTTTGTTAATCTTACTTGAATTTATGATAGAAAATTTATCGTAGAGCTCGAAAGAAAATTAATTGGAGGGATATAAGACTTTTGTTTTCCCATTCAAGTTAAGCAACCCATTTATCAAAGTATATACCTACCTAATTTCGCTTCTTCTTGAAGCTTATTTAGAGACCATTCGACTCTAAGGAGTTAGATGAAAGAAGATAATTATAATCTCACTCCACAGAATGCGAGTATACAGACACTGGTAGTTGTAGAACTTAGGATGGTTAGAGCCGCTGGAGTGGTTTCCATTCCAACCGACCTTGTGCAAATAATGGAATTCTAACCATTGACAAATGGGCTCCGGCCCATACGTTTGGTGATAGAAAGATGGACATCAAGCAATGGGCAGGCCAAGCCTACCACAAGGAGCCCAATAGCCCAATGGATAAGTACAAAGGTTGTGGCCTTTCACCTGCTAGATCCACCAGGTTATCTCATTAAGGCCCATGACATTACTCGTCGAGTAGGCTCCCAACGCTGCCCATTGGACTAACCAAACAGAAAATTGGAAAAAAAAAGGCAAAACAAAAAAACAAAAACAAAGGTCATGTTTGGTTTGTGATCCGGAATAGTTTTTTGTTCTCAAAATTTTAAAAACACTCAAAATCTGTTTGTTTAACATTTTTGTTCTCAAAAATTTGGTAAAAAATAAAATTTGAGTCAAAAAAATAGAAAACAAGTCTAGCTTGTTTTCAAAGTTTTATTTGAAAAATTTAAAAACAAGGAGAACAATTTTAGAGCTTTAATAAAGTCTACCCTTCGAGTCCCCTTAGTAGCAAAAGTCTTCATTCCTTCTTCTTTTTTTTCCCCTTCCTCTCTCTCCATCGTCTTCTTCTCCAGCATCCTCCATCTTTTCTCTCTCTCTCTCTCTTTCTCTCTTTCTTCTTGATGATTATCTGTGCAACCCTATCTCCAACCTTCACCTCAAAATCAACATCCGAATGCTAAATAGGATCACCCCAACTGGGCCTCTGTAATCAGCGTCGATCACACTAGCCCCAACATCTATCGAATGTTTCTAGGCCAAACCCAATCACAGTGCTACAGATTCGCATAAACTCATCTTCTTTCTCTGTCTCTGTAACAGCTCTGTGTGTGTATATGTGTGTGTGTGTGTGTGTCTCTCTCTCTTTCTCTCGTGGGTGTGTATGTTTTGTGCTGTGTGAGAAGACAATGGAGAGAGATGCTGTGAGAAGATATGTACTCGTGGGTGTGTGTATTTTTACAATATTTTGAGATTATTGTCCAAACAGGTTTTACTATTTTTTGTATTTTAAAACTATTTTCAAAACCATATAATCAAACAAGTTTTGTTATACAAAAATATCAAAAAATACTTTTTCAAAACTCTTTTAAAAAATTATTTTCGGATACTATTTTTAGAGATGCAAACCAAACAAGCCTAAAACTTTTTGGTGTGTTTGATAACGTTTTTATTTTTATATTTTTTTTCTAATAAAAATAAAAAATAAAAATATGTTTGGTAGTCATTTATATTTTAAAAATTGTGAAATCAAAAATAAAAAACTTGTTTATTATTATACCAAAAATTCACCAACCAAACCCCACCCAACCCCAACCACCCAACCCACTTCTTTTTCCTTGCAAGGTTTTATAATATAAAATCTACTTCGGGTGTTACCTGATCTTTCTTCCTTGGAATTGGAAAAGGGGGAAAATGGTTGTTTAGCCTGAGGTATTTATCAATTTACGATAATTTTCTAATAATACTTTCAATCTACGATATTTTTGAACTTATTTATCAAATTATAATTTTTTTAAAAAAGTGGGGTTGTTGATTCTTATTCCTTAGAGGATATGTTCTAAACCCGCTCGAATTACGATAGCCAATATTCGAATTTGAAAGAGTAGTCAGCGCAAATTTAAACACACTGTAACTATTTTTTTGTTGTTGATATTTTTGACCTATCTAAGCTTGAATTGGTTACACACAATTTTAACAAATTTAGATTTGAATATTCGAAAATCCGATGTAATTGTGATTTAGTTTGATTGATATATAACTGTACATAGGTATATGATGAAATATATGTTATTTGGTAAAACTGAATTGGAATTAAGATATAATTTATTAAAATTCAATTTTAGTTGGCCCATAGAGTTGGTCAGATTCTTAATATTTAACTTATTCAGATATGCACTCTCGTAAGATAATCAAATTAAATTCAAAAATAAAATTTTAAATCAATTTTGAATTGGGCCCTTTAGATTAAATTCTTATCACTCAAAATTTAATCCAAATCTTATGACTAAATGAGTTTTGATGATTTTTGTTCGATTTATCTTTTCGTCCTCTAATATAATAATCGATTAGGAGCGAAATGTAATTATGCTTAAAAAAAAAATACTAGCTCTCTAGGTTTTAAAAATTCAATCGTGCAGTCACTTCTCGAATATAGTAACTCCTCTCTTTCATAAATGGAGTGGCTTACTAACTCTGTCAAAAAAATGATTTCTTGTGGGAAAAACAAAAAGTTTATAGTGTGAACATGGGACAGCACTTTTGTAGCCTTTTCAAGCTATGAACCATGTTATAATAACAATGGCATTGATTATCGAATCTATTACCGATGTACAACGAATTTTAAACTTGAATACCATTTCACGAAATTAAGGGTAGCAAGGCTCCAAAATTATAAACAATAGATACAAAATTTTTTCATTGTACTGAAAGTGACACCCAGACAGATCAATTTGCCAACACAATACATACATGACAAACACATAAAGACAAACCCAAAAAGACAAACACTTAGAGGTAGTTTAAGTGGTAAAGAGATAACGTGTAAATTTAGACGTTTTGGATTTGAATTTTGACATTTTATTGGGCTCAGGCCTTGAAAAATTTATCTCTCGTGAATATCCTAATTCCAGCGTGAATGGTCTACTTTTGACCGGACAGAGAAAAAACTTAGTTAAAGTGTGTGTAAGCTGATTCGAACACCCTAAATATTGAATTAAAAAAAAAACACATAAAGACATGTTAAAAAAATACATAAACACATGGCACAAAGTCTCAGGTCAGAACACACTGCAAAGTTAACTTGCTCAAGAATAACCTTTGCTGATCAGCTCAACCCAACCCTTATTTCATATCTATGGAGGAAGAAAAGCATCACCACTGGCTAGAAGTTAGCCCACTCATCATCGGCCTTATCGGCGTCATGGCCGGAGCTCTCATATTTGCAAATTTTCAGTGCATTATTAGTTGTTGCAACAATAATCACACAGCCCAACTCCAAATTAATGTAAGAACTAGTGATGACCAAGTCGAAACTCCGCCCAGCGGCAGCAGCAGCAGTAGCAACAACAACAATTCAAGGTGCAATTGATAGGATCGTGTCGATACAGTGAAGAATATTGTAAAGAAGAGAGGATATGTGCTGTGTGTTTGGGTGACTTCAAGGAAGGTGATGAGGTTCGTATACTACCTGAATGTACACATACATTTCATGTGGCATGCATTGATAAGTGGCTATATTCACACCCTAATTGTCCACTTTGCCGTCCCCAAACAATGCCTCGGCCACCAGTAGTGGCTTTACCGGATTCCGGTGGTGGTGTTCCGCCACCAGAGCTGTATGGGTTGCCGAATTTTGGTGTTTAAAATTTTTGTCTCTTTTGTAGATGGTGTAAGCTCTAAGTTTTTTTTGCTTGTGTTGGTGAGTGTTTTGATTTAGATTAGAAGTGAGGTTACTGCAAAGCCAGGTTATTGTAAAGCCAATGTAAATGGAGATGTCACCAGGTCAACATGTAGCACAAGGCTGAGTGCCTCACACATCCAAGTATAGGGGGAATTTGAATCCAGATCATCCAGAACTCAAAGATAAGGTTTTTTTTTATTTTTTTTTATTTTTTTTAACGGTGAAGAACTCGGATATCCGAATCAACTTATGCACATCTCACAGGGATTGATTCAGAAAATTTTTGAAAGGGAGCGAAACAAAACCTGTGATACACATAAGAATTTCATTAAATAAGGTCATTTAGTAAGTTGGCGTGAATGCCATATTTTCAATTATGAAGAACATATCAAAATCAATTTTTATACCGTGTTGTCACCAAATGATTTTAGGTCATAAAATTTAAAAATTTATTCTTACTTATCATTTTAAAACTCAATACATTACATGACATGGTCTTTTATTTTTTTTCATTTTTGACATGACATTACGATAACAAATTATATGCCATCCTATATGGTTAGTTTCACACGATATCATTGTAATAGTTAGTCATGAATCAATGCATTATTTATGTATAAGTCACATTTATAACCCGATTTTGTAACATTTTTGCTTTTTTATTTTTGTGATCAAACTCATCCAATTAATGTCTTCCTTAGTAAAAACAATAGTCATCCATATGATCAATAGCCTCAATTCCGTTATTAATGGTATGATGCCATTAAAGTTTTTGAATATATTAAATGGGATGGGATTTTTTCGAAAACTTATAAAGAGGCATAGAATTCTTAAAAACTTAACAATGTATAGAGTAATTTTAAAAATTTAAGGGGGTCATCCCCCGCCCCAAAAGAAGGCGGGGTTGTTGATCCCTCTACCATGTATTAACTAGGACTCTGCTATATTTTGTTAATCTTACTTGAATTTATGGTAGAAAATTTATCGTAGAAGAAGTTCGAAAGAAAGTTAATTGGAGGGATATGAGACTTTTGTTTTCTCATTCAAATTAGGCAACACATTCATCAAAGTATATATCTACCTAATTTTGCTTAAATCAAAAAAAAAAAAAAAAACCTAATTTCCCTTCTTCTTGAAAGAGACCATTCGACTTTAAGGAATTAGATGAAAGAAAATAATTACAATTTCACTCTACAGAATGCGAGTACACAGAACCTGAAAAAGCCATGCTGGTAGTTGTAGAACTTATGATGCCTAGAGCTGCACGAGTGGTTTCCAACCGACCTTGTGCAAATAATGGAATTCTAACCATTGACAAATGGGCTCCAGCCCATACGTTCGCTGTTAGCAAGATGGACATCAAGAAATGGGCAGGGCAAGCCTACCACATGGAGCCCAATAGCCCAACGGATAAGTACAAAGGTTGTGGCCTTTCACCTGATAGATCCACCGGGTTATATCATTAAGGGCCATGACAATGACTCGTCGAGTAGGCTCCCAACGCAGCCCATTGGACTAACCAAACAGAAAATTGTAAAAAAAAAGGTGAAAATTGGAAGTAAGTTTTAGATGTACTTGTTTGGAAATAAGTCCTATAAAAAATTTATAAGGAGTTAAGTCTATGTTTAAAATTATATGTAATGACTTAAGTCCATCTTTTTTTTATCTCAAAAATACCCTTCTTTGAAAGGAAGTTAATCTTTTATCTTTCATATCTATCTATATTCATATATAGTTAAAAGTTTGACTAACATTAAAATTTTTCCTCTCTCTTATCTATCTATATCCATATATAGGTTAGGTATATATATATAGTAACATTAAAAAAAATAGTAACATTTAAATACAAAAAAAAAAAGTTACTATGAATTTGAATAGTAAAATTCAAATTCATGTTACAAATTTTTTTTATCATGTTACTGCTTTTGTTAAGTATGTTACTGTTCATGTACTATTATTTTTGAGCGTGTTACTGTTTTTGTTGACCATGTTACTACTATTATTTTCCTAAATATTAATATTCAATGTTATTATTTTTTTTTAATATAACTATTTTTTGTATTTGAATTGTACTATTTTTTTGCGTTTGAATTTGAGAGAAATAATTATTGTTAAGTATGTTATAGTTTTTGTTAAACATGTTACTATTTTTGTTGAACATGTTAATATTTTTGTTGAACATATTACTGTTGTTATTTGTAAAAAATATTAATATTGAATGTTTCAATTTTTTTTATGTTTAAATGTTACTATGTTGTGTTTAAATGTATTATTTTTTGTGTCCAAATGATAAATTTTTTTGTATTTGAATGTTACTTTTTATTTTTAATATATATATATATATATATATATATATATATATATATATATATATATATATATATATATATATATATATATATAGATAAGAGAGAGAAAATTTTTTAACGTTAATCAAATTCTTAACCTATATATGAATATAGATAGGTATGTGTTAGAAAAAATTTTAATGTTAGTCAAACTCTTAAAATTTATGAGTTTTTAATTTTTAGCTTTATTCCACTTCTAAAAGGAAGGGATGGTATGATAAAATTGACAAAAAACGGACTTCATAACAAATAAGTTTCTTTGACAGACTTAAGTCCAAACGAGTCCATATAGGAGGACCGGCCTCCAAATTTCTTAAAAAATAAAGAAGGTAAAAAAAAAAAAACAAAAAAACAAAAAACAAAACACAAAATAAGAGTTCCAAGCAGAAACACTTGAGAACAAAGGAGAGGTTATGCTGTGGAATGAAGGCGACATAGCTGTATTATACATGCAAGTATACATCCAAAAAAAGTGTCCTCTCAAACCTACAAAAATCCAAAAAGAAGAACGAAACTCCCTCCCCTCCTTTCCCCCTCCCCACAAAATTCCAAACTTGTATATAGGAATGATAATACACCGAGACTGGGGTGGAGAATAGTTTCGAATATATATATAAATTTAACGAGTTAGTGGAGTGGAGAGGGGAGGGTATGGGGTGAGAATAAGTTTTGGTTCATCCCTGCATCTATGTTAGCACCGATTTATGTGGATATTCTCTTATACATCTATCTATTCAATACGTATAATTCATCTCGATTCAAATAGAGCGAGTTTGGATGGACCATGTCGTAGTTATATATGTTGACAAGAAAATTTGTAAATTTTATTTATATATTTCGATAATACATTTTCCCCTTTTTGCTAAGAATCATAAATATGTGTTTTTAAAACTAAATTCTTAAATTCGTCACTACGTATCAGATACCATATTAAAGATTTATCTACTTGTCTTGAATCATCCACACTGCATATGAAACTTCCATACTATTATATATAGAATTTGTCTTCTACTATTATTCATAAAAAATCCAAAAATCAATTCATAAGATCATGCTCCTTTTCATTTTTTTGGTACACATATTAAACAACCACCACCTCCACCTTACCACCACCAATACACTAGTATATATTACAACCACCAACACTACCGCACCGCCTATCCTCCTCGGCATTGGAATCTAGAAGCTCCGATCATGTTGCTTCTCGCCGCGTTCCTTGTTTTATTTACGGTTATCTCCATACCCACATTGATGTACGCTTTTGCAACAAAGTGTTCTCGTAACCCTTTCCATCGACCTGGTGGCAGCTCCGATGGGCTGGCCGGAGAGTTGACCACCAAGAATATGGGTTGGGTTTCTGAGGTGAATTATATAAAGGAGACACATGAAAAGGAGAATGGCGGCGAATGTCCGGTGTGCTTATCGGCTTTTGTTGAAGGGGAACAGATAAGGCGGTTGAAGGAATGCAAGCACTGTTTTCACGTTGCGTGTATTGATATGTGGCTCTATTCTCACTCCAGCTGTCCTGTTTGTCGCGCTTCAATCGCCATCAAGCGGTTTAAACGGCCGGTGGTAGACGAGGAGAAAGATCTCTGGCAAGATTTGCCGGTTTCTGACAGCTTGGTTTGAACGTTTTCTTTTGGTCAGGTGCTTTGATTTTTTTTTTTTGGGTCAAGTATTATTAAAAAGGTGGGGTGACGAGGTTACAAGTCAAGACCTTGATTCAACACTCGGAGAATTTGAATTTTCTTTTAAGTAAATTATTTCGTAAATGAATGGATTCGATTTGACCTGATTTAACATAATTAATAAATAAATTGAGTATTGATGAAATCAATCAAAATAAATATATGATACTACTCGTTTATATAACAGTTAGACACGATTGATATAAGACATGAACACGATATAATATGACTCGTTAAACACGAATGAATCAATAAATCGAATATAAATAAAATATCTTTTAACAAAAACCTGTTAAAACTTGATACAAACTCAGATCACTCGGCTCGACAGAATTGACAAACCTAAATGTAACCTATGTTCAAAGAGAGCAATGATATGTAAATCAAATATCTGATCAAATATTAATTGGTTAGTGAATTGAGTGGTTGGATCAGCGAATACCATTAAGAAAATTAATAAAATTTACCGATCCAACTATCTATATGTAGTTGGTAAACAAAATTTATTAAAAACTTGAAAGCAAAAAAAGGGTATTGATGTTTAAAAAGTTAGGCTTGTGTGGTTGTGTGATTTATTATGGTTGTTAGACTTCATTAATCGCTAAATATCTCAGATAGGATTGATAATTGAGTCCAATTATTTGGACTTGATTTGAACTTGATTCATGTTTTAAATTAGTTGAATTTGAATAATTTTTTAAATTTATTTAAAAAACAAGCCTAAAAAGTTTCGACTCACGTAAATCACGACTCATTTATATGTAAAATAGTCAATTTACTCAGATTCAACTCTAGTTCGACTTGTTTTTAGTTCGACTCATATTTTAAAAGAGTCAAATTTAAACAATTTTTTAAGCTCATTTAAATAAACAAACTTGACAAACTCAGCTCGAGTTTGCAAAATTCAACTTGATTATCGGTTTTAATTTGAGATGAAAGGAAATTAAACTTTTAAACCATTTACTTTATTTATTAGCAATGGGTTTTTTTTGGATTGTATTAGCAACATTACATTCACCATTTTTTAGCAATTTTTACACCAGCTAAATATATATAATTCGATCCTATTAATTCCTCGCGAAATATCTAGTGTTTTATTATTGATCCAACATCACGTGCTATAAAAATTTTTGATTTAGACACGTAATTTTTTCCTATATTTATTTATTTTTGGTTGAATTTCCTTATTTTCCCTATATTAATTACATGACCAAAATTGTATGGTTAACAATATGCCACCCTCTTGGGGTGTACCATCAAATTGTAGGCCCGTCGAAAAGTTACCAAACGGATGCTGACATGGATAGGCATCAAAAGATTGACCCGGAGTTCATGGTTTCTTATAAATTTTTAATATTGCATTTTCAATATATTAAAAAATTTGTAATATGATTATTTCGTTAATTGTAATTACTCATTCCGTCAAGGTTAATAAGATGAATTTTTTAATAAAATAAATAATAAAAGATAACAGAAATGTCACATTGTAATACTTTTAATAATAGTAATGACATAACCTATGCATGAAAGTATTGTTATGGGCCAGCCAGGTGGGTCTACATGTCACAACTTTTAGTCCGAACCCTACTCCATTAATTGTGTCTTGCCTATATTTTTGGGGGATTTTGTAAGCTTTTTTTTTTGTTGTAAGCTAGTACACAATATAATGCTCAATTGCTTAAAAGTCAATTGGATAAAATTATGTGTAGAGATGTTTTATTTTTTGTGAATGTCAAATATACCCACAAGTAAAAATCAACCAGCGCAACCGCATTATTTGGAAACTGTCGGAACTCAAGCTCCATACCCATGAAATTTAGCCAATACGATATCCTGCAAAATATGGTATTTGAAATTCAAAAAAAAAATGTCATAAAATTCATGAGATTTTCAACCAAATCAAAAATACAATCTCCCAAAATTTATGAGACCCAAAAATCATTTGCCTGTGTATTAACTGTAAATACAGTGGAGTGTCATTGAAGTCTAATCGTCGACATTTTCAACTGTGATCCTCGACAATGTCCAAGTAACTAATTATGAATTGATAAAATTATGTTACCACAAGTGTGTGAATAACATGACTATGTGTTAGACACATAATGTTTCATATGAATCAGTGTAATCATTGTGACACAGCAGTGGTACATCATAGTGTAACAACTTAATTAACACTTTATTTACTAACAAAAAATGTGCAATTACATTCTCTAATTCATACACAATCTAAATGATATGCATCACACAGTGTGACATCACATTGTTACAAGCATCTCATTTTACTCATAATGTAGGAATCATGAAATGTAATTATTTTTTTTTTCACAATATGACAAATACCATAGTGTCTATTGTATTGTTACACTATAATATAAAACTGTCATTCCTTAAAAGTAATATATGTGTTTGTCGGACTATAGATGTTACATTATAATGTCACACTGTGTAAAAACACAAACTTATTGTCCCATATTATTGTGATTTTCTCAAAATCGTTATTTTTTTCAAAACTATGAATGAAATATGCAATTTGTGGGTGAACGAAATCTATGAATATCTTTTTTTTTTGAATTTTAGATCCTTTGTTGAAATCTTATAAACTTTGGCCGCTTTTGGTGGAGAAGTGATCACCGTTGTATTCGTTATAAATAGAAAATATAAACATGTGAGGGGATTTTCTCTCATTAGACGAAATAATTAAGGGAAAAAATATCAGCTAATTAATGAAGAGATTTTAGTCTAGAATTTACAACTAATAGAGGAAAACAAAATTCTAGATAGAGTCAATTACATACAACAGTAATACCACACTAACCAAAATTACTGATAAAATAAAGAGCCCAAATAAAGTGGCGACTGACTTGGAAGGCTGATTAAGCAAAATTAATATTTGACTAAATCCAAAGTTTTCTCCCCAAAATTTAAGCCCCAAATCAAGGACAGAAAGGGCAAAATCTGAGACGTCTTCTTCGTTTCCCTAACACGCACAGACAAGTGGAAGAAGACGATTCCGGCAAAAAAAAACCAAAGAAAACAAAGGTGACATCGACCTGGACCAGAGGAGGGAAGATTGCTTCGTAAATTTAGATTATACATTCAAGGTGTTTAATAAAGTGGGTTGTAGTTCTCTTTGACATCGATTTGGACAAGTGGGTTGGAATAAGTTTCACAAAATGCTATACGTTCCAGCTTGGTTCTCTTTTTCTACCTTATTTTGCAATGCATTTTCATATTGTTCAACAAATTATTTTACGTATTTTTGGAATTGACATATCTATCAAAAAATACATGCATGCTCTCACTGCGTTGTGTGGTGAACATTCTTGCCCAAAAAGTATCTTTTATAAATGTTGGCACCCATCGATGTCTCTCACCAGACAATCCAAACAACCACTCATTGAATTCAATATTATATTTCTCAATCATTTTATTCCACCGTTCTTCAAATTCTTTATTGATTAAACAGTCATATACAATACTCTGCAATGCAAACTTGATTGACTCATATTGTTTATAACCTCTAAGCTTTTTTGTCAACTTCTTCATTATTTGCCACAAGCACTACCTGTGGCGTGTATTGGGAAAAACAATCTTAATTGTCTTTCGCATTGCCTTGTCTTGGTCTGTAATTATTGTATTTGGAGCACAACTAGACATTCAAGCAACCCAAGATTGAAATAACCAAGGAAACATCTCAACATTCTCGCTTGATACCAATCCACATCCTAATAAAGTCAATTGACCATGGTGATTGACCCCGACAAAAGAAGCAAATGACATGTCATACTTATTCGTTAAATATGTGGTGTTAAATGTAATGACATCACCAAATTTCTCATATGCTTCCCTACTCCTTGCATCTGCCCAAAATACATTTCTCAAACGACTCTCATCATCCAAATCCATCATGTAGAAAAAGTTTGAATTATCACCTTGCATTTTTCAGGAAATGGTTGTGAATCGCAGTAGCATCTCCATCCCCAAGCTGCAACCACTTACTTTGTCAATAAAATTTCTATAATCTTTCTCCAAAAAGGGACATTCTCATGCCCACCCGCTTCAACCACAATAGAATTAAAGTTCTTGTTAATTTGAATTCCAGCTCATTCATTAATTTTAAGTCTTTTTTTGATGTATGGTCTTATTATCTTGTTGCATTGGTAGAAACAAGATTTGACCGAAATCAACCCATGGTTATGTGCAAGTATTATGGAAGTCACTCACCACATGCCATCGGGACATATTGTTGCTCTCAACTTAGCTTTACAATCAATTTTAGTGATTAGACGCATTTGGAAGGCATTTTTTGATGTAGATTTTGACTTTCCCGAGCGAGAACACGCAAATGTCTCAAATCTTAGCTCTCCATCATCTCCCTTTGACGATGTTCTTCTTTTTATGGGAAATCCTAGGCCATTACCATATCTTATGTAATATTCCACTATTTCGTCAACTGTATTAAACAACATTCTTATTTTTGGCTCTTCTAATTTTTCTTCTACATTGACTGTATTATCAACTTCCTTCTCACAAGTATTACCATCCATCTTCATACTTGTATAGGTAGTTGGAATTTCTTCTTCCATTCCTATTCAATAAAGAAGAAAACATAGTAGATTGTCACTGGAATGAATACAATTGGTCACTCTTAAAGTTACTATCAGCACATCAAATGTTTGTTTTTTATTGCCTAGTTGAGATACTGCATTTAATAGATAACAAAAAACTTAGAAGATAGATTACCATTGTCTGCATTTAACAGATATTGCATTTTTGCCAGAATAATCTTTTTTCGCTTGTCAGTGGGTGTTAGGGAAGCAGAAAAGATGTCTTAGATTTTGCCCTATTTGTCCTTGATTTGGGGCTTGAATTTTGAGGAGAAAACTTTTGGATTTAGTCAAATATTAATTTTGCTTGATCAGCCTTCCAAGTCAGCTGCCACCTCATTTAGGCTCTTTATTTGGTCACTAATTTTGGTCAGTATAACATCTCTGTTACACACAAACGTAAGAAAAAGAAATTATAGCTATGTGGGAGAGATTTTAGGAAAGGGAATCAACACCCGCCGTTGAGGTAGAAGAAGATGATATATATTTAAAATTTAAATATACTAATCTTCAAAAATAGGAAATCGTTGATTTAGTAAAACAAATTCCATAGAAAAAGGAACTGACAAACTAAACAGACCATGAATTATAGAAAAAAGGTATTTTAGTTAAGAAAAAAATTTAAAAATTGTTACTGTGTATTTAGACACAATACATTTTCAACTAATAGCACTTATCTATAATATATTTTCATCAAAGCATTTTTCCACAAATAGATAATTCAAATGATACCTATCCACAATTTGCCCTTTTTTCGGCCTAAGCTTAGCCCATAAGTCCAATAATCCAACCCAAACTCTTATCAATTTGGCTGGGCTATCGTGCCCCCACTAAGGTCCAATAATTCTTCAACGGATTGAAGCCTGTGCATGGGGTAAATTATATTTTACACCCTTAAAATTTACACTTAATTTTTAGGAAAATTTGGAGGCCGCCCTTATATGTATTTGTTTGAACTTAAATTTACCAAAGAAACTTATTGTTATGAAATTCGTTTTTTGTCAATTTTATCAGACTATCTCGTCCCTTTAGTAGTGAAGTAAAACTAACAACTCCTAAATTTTAAGAGTTTGATTAATATTAATATTTTTTTCTTTTATATCTATGTATATCTATATATAGATTAGAACTATATATATCTCTCTCTCATTCGTATATATAGTAACATTAAAAATAAAAAATAGTAACATTTAAATATTAAAAAAAGGTTATCATTTATACACAAAAAATAGTAAAATTTAAACATAAAAAATAGTAACATTAAATATAAAAAAATAGTAACATGTTCATTCAATATTAATATTTTTAAAAAGTAACAATAGTAACATGTTCAACAAAAATAGTAACATGGTCAAAAAAAATAGTAACATGTTTAACAAAAACAGTAACATGCTAAAAAAAATAGTAATATGAAACATTGAACAAAATTGAAAATAAAAATAATATTATTCAAACCCATAACCAAAAGAAGAAACCTTCAGGTTTTCAAAAATTTCATTATTTTTTGCATTCCTAATTTCAAAATATGATTCGTTGTTACTAAATTAAATGATACAAGTTTCAATTTTTTGGATCTTTTGTTGTGCAATACAATCGAAAAATGTTTGAATGTATTACTTGTGGGAAAAAGTTGATGTTACTATGAGGGAAAAAGAAAATTATTTTTACACATTCGATGTCTTGACATTCACAAGTGGTGATAAGTGTTCTAATTCAACTGACAATTATTTGTTACTACTTTAAATAATGTAATTTTTTTGATTTGTGTACTGTATTTTGTGAAAAGTAAAAAAAAATTATTGTTACTGTGAAAAAAATAATATTTCATTGATGTTATTGTGTAAAAAAATATCTCGTTAATGTTACTGTGCAACATATATCCTCTTGAGTTTTGTTAAAGTTGTGTGTGTTATTGTGCATAAAATTTTGATGTTATTGTAAAGAAAAAAATAGATGTTACATTACAATTTTGCAATTATTATTGTGAAAGTTTGCATTTGTTATTGAACGGGAAGATCTTCTCCTAACGAGAGAGAGTATAAATTTGAATTTTAATTTAGGTGTAAATTAAGGGATAATAATTTCTAATTTAAGAAATTAAAAAATTAATTTAAAATTACTTTCAAGATCTTTAAAATTTCTATAATTGAACACAATAACACTATTATGGATATTTTTGATATTTAAAAAAATAGTGGACTTAAGTACTTATTAGTAAGATACAAAATAAATTTATCATCAAATAAGTTTCGTTAACGAACTCAAGTCATTATAACTCAATCCAAGAGGACTAAGCCCCAATTTTCACTAATTTTTATTTGGCTACCGTCTTTACTGATGGACTTTAAAGATGTGAGTTCGAATCTTATCGTCATTTTTTCTTGTAATAACGCTTGACTAAAATAAAAGGGTTAATAATATTTTTAGTCTCTAACGTATGTATTTTTTGTCAGTTTAGTCTTTTATTGTATCAATTTTTTCAATTTGGTTTCTAAAATATTCAATCTATGTCCCTTTAGTCTCTAATCAAACAATCCGTCAACTTTTCGACGGAAGTAATCACATATATTTTTTTAGACAGTATCACGTGTCCAACACGTGATCATTCCATTAAGTTTCGTCAAAAACTTAACTGTTTATTTATGTAGAGACTAAAATGACACGAATTGAATACTTTAGAGGTCAAATTAATAAAATTGATGAAATGATAACTAAATTGACAAAAAATATATACTTTAAGAATTAAAAATTCTATTAACTCTTAAAAAAATCATTAGAATCAACTGTTGTAATTTTTTGCAAATAAAGTACCTTAGATAAATTGAAACAGTTTTTATAAAAATCAAACAAACATTGGAACTCATGATAACAACTTTTTAAATTTTATTAACCGGAATATTCTAAAAGATAATTATTTTTCAAATGAACATCCATTGAGTTTTTATTTTTTTAAGATTAACCTAAGAATTCAATGAATTTTCTTTTTAAATTATGCATTACTCCATAACATTATAAGTAAGTTGGTGAAATTGATGGATGAATTTTAACCAAAAAATAATTAATTGATGAAATCAATAAACCAATTGAGATAATAAATTTTATAATCTTGTTTTGATAGTATAAATTGTAGAGGAAATAATATATCTATATAATAAAACAGTTTACAATTCAAATTTCAAAAGATAAAAAAATAATTTTTGCTATTTGCGGTTAAAATTGCTTTAAATTTTACTTTTAAAGTTAATTTAACGGCTAATATTAACATCATAAATTTAATAGAAAAAATAGGTCACTAAGAGTGTGTTTGGAGTGTACTTTTAAAAATTATTTCTCATAAATATTTTTTTTAAAAATAGTGTTTGAAATTGCCTCACTATCACCACCACTGCCACTAACGCCACCGCCATCGCCACCACCATCGTCTCTATCGCCGCTGCCACCACTACCACCGCCATCGTCACCGCCACCGCCATTACCACTATCACCGCTGCTATTGTCACTGCCACCACCACTACTGTCGCTACCACCATCGTCGTCGTCGCCACCACCGTTTCCACCGCCACTACCATCACTACCGTTACCGTCGTTGTCGCCACCACCGCCACTACTGCTGTCACTGCCACCACGATCATTGCCATCCACCACAATCATTATCGTCTCTTACCACCACTATTGTCTCCCACCACCTCTCACCCCCGCTACAAAATCAATGTTTAAATTCATTTATCTTTTTTTATGTTTGTAATTTGATGTTGAATATGAATATAAATATATTTACTATTTTTTATTTTTTATTACTCTGTGCTTCCAAACGTAGACAATAACTAGTTTAAAATAAGAGACCATTGGCTTGAAGTTGGTGAGGGAGTAATCATCTACAGTCGAACAAGCATCACATCGTCACCGACAATTCAATGCAATTTCTCCAACCATTTCCATTTCCCTCTTAATCCCAATATTCTCTTTTCTTTTTTTGTTTTTTGTTGCTCGAAATAAACATGTAATTTTTTTTGGTATATAAAATAGATATGCAAATAGATCAATTCAGATATCCGTTGTTAGCGAGCATTATCTTTCAGCACCATGCAGATAGGGAGGTTACTCCACATATCTGCTGTTAAGGAGTATTATTTTTTAACACTACACAACTATTTACAAGATATCCCACTGCACTTATGTTAAGGTCAACGCTAAGGTCACATTGTGTGTTTTGGGCGTAAAAAGTAAGTTTAACTCTATCAAATTACCATAACTGTAAAAATTCGAATTCAAATATTGAACGAAAAAATTCAAATTGTTACCTACTGCACTAACTGTTCTATGATAAATAAACATATAAATATGATACACTACATATTCAACAAAAAATTGCCCAACATTATTACACCATTATATGTTAAGGATAAAATAGTGCTGCATAAATTTTTTACCAAATCTTTGTATTTTAAGTGATGTGTCAAAATATCATGTATTAAATATTTAGTGAAATTAGTTAACTCCACTAATTCAACCACTTACATTGATTTAAAATACAAAATTTAGACAATAATTTAGTCAACGTAACATTATTTTTGTGCGAAAGACCCGTTGCACATACATTGGGGCTAATGAACAAGTTTCATCGCGCTTATGGTGAAATCGAAGGGGCAATTTCATTATGTATTCTAGGCACCAAAATATAAATTGAGCTATCATAATTATGGTTGTTAATTAAATTGACTTATTCGAGTTCATCTCAAATTTGATTTATTTTTTGCTTGTTTAATCTTCACTAATTTAGAAAATGAATCGAAATTGTTCGTTCCACTATTAGCACTAATCATAATTATGAAAGATCGGACTCAAATTTGAATTATTGAACAACCAAACTAGCGGCGGTGTATATTCCCAATTCAAAGTTCAAACCAACCTGTAAACCAACTTCAACCGACAAACACCTTCAGATTTCCCTTCTAAGTTAACCAACACCAACTTCCCAAGAAATCTAAGCTATTTTCCCTCAAATCTATCAAACCCACTTCCCAAATCTTCTGCAATTTTCACTCAATTTCCCCAATAATCATACCTAACCGATCTAACCCACAAAATCTAATCCCTGAAACTTGCAAATATGAAACGAACCCACATTCGATTCCTTTCCCATCAACCATGGTCAATCCCTTTGATTGTTCTCTCTACATTATGTCTGATCCTCATTCTCACTATAACCCTACTCCTAGGTCTTCAAAAATCAGTTTCTGAATCTGATTCTTTATTTTCTCATTCAGAATCTTCTGATTCGAATTCTGATACTGTAAATGCATTACCCAGTTTGCCTCGATTTGCGTACTTGATTTCGGGGACTAAAGGCGACGGAGGTCGTGTGAAGAGACTGCTTCAAGCAGTGTATCATCCGAGGAATTACTATGTGTTGCACCTTGACGTTGAGGCCGAGGACAGTGAAAGGCTTGAGCTTGCCAAGTATGTGAAATCGGAGACGGTGATGAGGGAGTTGAGGAATGTGATGGTGATTGGGAAGGCGAATTTGGTGACTTATAAGGGGCCGACGATGATTGCTTGTACACTTCATGCGATTGCAGTTTTGTTGAAGCAGGCGAAGCAGTGGGATTGGTTTATTAATCTCAGCGCTTCGGATTATCCTCTCATGCCGCAAGATGGTTAGTTCTTCTTTACAGTAGCAATGTTGATTGTTGATAGGTTATTTTTTTGGTATTGTGGTTTGGGTACGCGCACGACTAATTCACTCTCTAGCGTAAACCATCCTTGCTGAGACTAGGGAATTCGTAGGGATAAGTTTGTTATGGCTTGAGCCCAAAGGAGTTATCAAGTTTCGAACTTTGGATTTACAATTCGGCCCTTATCTTTCCATTTTGTATTTTTTTGTTATTAACTGCATCTGATGTTGGTTTGAGATGTTGTTAAGATACATAAATGATTTACTTCATAATTGAATGATGAATCAGAATCTCACATTTTGTGCTTCCTAAAAAATGGGAATTTTAATTGTATGGAAGTGGACTAGCTGAGTAAGAAATTACTTGGAGTGGAGTCAGTGTATATGTATGAGAAGAGGATGCCTTGAAGTTATCCTTGGTTCAATAGGATCTAGTTAGAGACTGATATTACTAGCTCAGATTCCTATACATTCACTGATTTAAAAGTAAATTGACAACGTAATTATTTATCCTTGCTTGTGGTTCTCAACTTACATCAGCAGAAAATTTTTAAAATGTACACCTATAATATGGTGGGCGATGTGTGAGAGATTTGCAATGCAAGCCATGATAAAGCAGGAAAAGTCAAGCAGATTTTGTAAGTTGCAGATCCTGGGCTATAATTGTTTGGAGTGAAGTGGACTTCTGGCATTGTTTTCTTAGTTGGTACAGACATATTTGGTTACAGAAGGAACCATGAATAGAAGTGTATCATGCAAATGAGAATAAAGGATTGGGTTGTAACTTAAGTCCCTTCTTAGTAATTGTCTCTGTCTATTTCTAGCTCGTCACTTTGTTCTACATAGACTAGGCGGAAAGAAAAAAGAAAAATCCTTTCAGGGTTCTTATGATTGGAATTGTTGTGCGTAGTTTTAGCGTTGTTTGTCCTCTGTTTTTTTAAAGGAACTTTTTGAAAAGTTTACTTGCATCACCAAACTGTCAGCATGCGACTGAAATTGCTCCTGTAGTAAATCAAGTCATCTCTTGTGTATGTATGTTCAGGGTATTTTTTTATTGCTTTTTTCAACAAACCTTGTTTCTTTTGTTCCAGATATCCTGCATATTTTCTCATACCTGCCTAGGGATCTTAACTTTCTCGAGCACACGAGTTCCGTTGGTTGGAAAGAGTGAGCATGCTATTCTGGTCCTTGCACTTGTATCCATAAAATAGTATTGTGGGCTAAGGTATGCCTTATTTGCTTGTATAGATGCTAAATCATTCTAATTTTTCTCTACGGGCTAATGTGGTTGCAGATTTCAAAGTGCAAGACCTATCATTATAGACCCTGGCTTATATCATCCAAAGAAATCTGGTGTATTTTGGGCCAAAGAGAAAAGATCAATGCCTTCTTCTTTCAAGTTATTCATGGGTATTGCAATAACCATTTGCTTTATATGTTACCTAAATTTTGCTTGATGGCCTTTCCAGTTCTGATAGTCCATCGACAACATTCTTATACCTAAGACATGAGCTTATGTTTGTGGCCAATCTTCTGATACTGGCTTGTTGCTTGTCTGCTCCTTTTCCATTCAGTAAAGTGTTACTGATTGTTGCTCCATGCTTGAACTGTCGTTTAGCATTAAATATTTTCTCTAGCATCACCTATTGTCATCCTGAAAAAATGGTATAAGATTCTGAAATCTTGATACGTCAGCTGTTAGATTTTTGCCTTAGAGTGAAACATGCAATCGGAGATGATGGATATGTGTGGATAATATATAATTTGGTAATGGAACTGTGGCTCTTCATGCTCTTTATTGTATTCCTAGAATAAAATTATGGATGGCTAATGCTTTAATTTTCTTTTGGCTTCTACCTTTTATCTTAAGCTTTGAATTTGCCATTTCCAGGGTCTCCGTGGGTAATGCTTACAAGATCATTTCTTGAATTTTGTGTTTGGGGGTGGGATAATCTTCCTCGTACTCTTCTAATGTACTACACCAACTTCTTGTCATCTCCTGAGGGGTACTTTCACACGACGGTGTGTAACAATAAGGACTACCAAAATACCACAGTAAACCATGACTTACGGTATATGAGATGGGATAATCCTCCAAAGCAACACCCTCTAAATCTAACAGTGGAACATTTTGACGACATGGTCCAGAGTGGTGCCCTTTTCGCTCGCAAGTTTGCCAAGGATGATCCAGTTCTCAACAAAATTGATGAGGAACTTTTAAGGAGACCAATTAGCAGGTATGCACCTGGGGGCTGGTGTGGGGGAAATTCTGTGTTAGGTACGGATCCTTGTATGGTTAATGGGAGTCCGGATGTAATTAAACCATCTGTTAGTTCAAAAAGGCTAGAGAAACTAATATTGACACTTCTCAGTTCTGAAAATTTTAGATCAAAACACTGTAAATAACTACTATATAATGCTTCATTTTGCCCCTCGGTTCTTCTTTTTGTTGTGGTGGATTAGTTTGTTTCATAACCATGATTTGAAGATTATTACTCTTTGAAATTTGGATTCAGTGAAACAGCAGCAATCATGGAGCATCTGATCAGGTTTTGTCAAGATGATAAATCTCTGCACACTGTTGATTGATTTCTCTTTGTGGCACTTAAAATGCTCTCTCTAGATTATAATTAGTTTTTTTATTTATTTCTCCCTGCAATTATATACTCTGTCTCTGGAAAGGAAAATATATTTGCTTTTTTGTTGTCCTCCCTAAAAAGTGAATCTCTCTCTCTCTCCACCAAGTCCTAACACCATGGAAGCCACTACCACCCTCCACCAAAACCGACAGTCATAGTCTGATCACCGTAGTGAAAGACCCATCATCCTTCACCCCCCACAACCTTACCACAGTATCGCCGCTTTTGAGAGACTCACCCTCGCACGCATCTTCGACATTTCGCATCTTTTTATCAGTCATCACCAGTCACCACCATGAGTGCAAGAGATATCACTAACACCACCCACGACCGCCCCCCTTAATCACCGTCATCTTCAACCACTGATATACCCTTTGTCCAATTACAAATATCCACGACTACATATAATAAATCATACAAAATTGAGACTTTGTATATCTATATGATAAAGTATAATACAATTTAAATTTTAAAAGATAAACAAAATGATTTTTTTTTTCGTGGCTGAGATTTTTTTAAATTTTATTTTAAAGTTAATCCGACGACTAATATTAACACTTCAAATTTAATAAGAAAAATAGGTTCTTAAGGGTATGTTGTAGTGATTTTTTAAAAATTGTTTTATGACTTATTTTTCATAAGTATTTTTTTAAAAAATAGTGTTTGAAATTGTCCCACCACCACCACCCTTACTGCCCCACCACCATCAACATTACCACCACAACTACCCCCACCACCACCGCTGCCCCCACAAACATTATCGCCACCCTACCACACCCACCACCCAACCACCACCACCATCACTATTCACCACTATCCCATCACCATCACTAGTACCACCACTGCCCCCACCACCACCATACCCACTACCACCACCCACACCATCACCTGCACCACCCCACGACCACTGCCCCACCATCACCAGCCCCACTACCATCACCATTGCCACACCCTAACTCCATTACCATCCCGCCATTACCACTGTCGCCAACACACCACTGTCATCGTCAGCATCATCTCTGCCACCACCATTGCCACTGCCCCACCTCACCCTTGCCATCGCCATCCACCACCGATTATTATTACCACCACCACCTACCACAATCGTCATCTTATTTTTATATTTATTACTATTATCACTATCATCCCACACCCACCGTCAGCACCCATCACCACCATTGTTGTCCACCGTTATCCATTACCACAACTCACCATCACCCCGCTATCACTCATCATCACCACCAGCTACTGTCACCCACCCTCATCACCCATCATCGCCCACCACTACAAGCACCCATTACCACCATCGTCATCGTCATCACCACCGTTGTTGGCCCCACCACCACCATTGTCAACTACCATCACCGTCGTCCATCACCACCCACACTCACCACCACTACCACCATTATCCACGATTGTCACTACCACCATCATCATCGTTGTCACCCACGGCTGCTACAACCACCACCATGATTGTCGCCACTCATCACAACCATCACCGTCTCCCACCATCATCACTACCGCTTACCACCACTACCACCGCTCACCCTTACTACAATCAGTGCTTAAATTTATTTATCTCTTCTATGTTTTTGTAATTTAATTTTGAGTGTAAATATAAATATGTTTATGTTGAATATTTTTTTATTATTACGTGTCTTTAGGCACAAAGATAATTAGTACTAAATATAAGAAATCACCAAATTGCACAATTTCACCCAGCAAGCCAATTGCCCCACTTGTGAAGGGAGAGAGAGAGCGTCAGCTGGCCAAAATGCCATGGAGGTACGGTGGGGATGTGGAGGTAGAGATGGTCACCCACAACAGATAATGTGTTTACCTAAAATACAAACATTTGTCCAAAAAAAATAATCATAAAAAATATAAACTTGACATTCAAGCCCTTGGGTGGAAGTGGGTAATATTTTTTGTTGATTTTCCAATTGCATCTTTACAAAATTGCAATTATCAATTCAAGGGGCTAAATCAAATTTTCAAATCCTCTAGGGGAAAAATTGCAATTAAACCAACAATAATAGGAAAGAAAAAGAGTAAATTTCAATGGCATCCCCCAATATATACCCAAATAACAAGGTGACTTCCTGGCATTTCACAAATAATACATTAACCCCAACAATAGTTTTGATTTGAGTGATGATTTATTTACTTTCATTTTGACTAGTCAAATTAGTCAAAAGAAAGAGAGAGAAGAACAGCCAGCCAGCAATCAACCGACTCCTTTCAGAGTACAAAACAATCTAGGATAAATTACACTCTCATCCCCTGACATTTGACTTTCTTATACGGACACCCCTCACATTTCAAAAACTACAGAGACCCCAATAGATAGACATCGTTAATGGTATTAACAAAAATACTATCTTACCCTACATTTAATTAATTAAAAATTAAAAAAATCAAACCCATTAGCCAAGTTTCTCGATCTCTCTCTCTGTGAGAACCCTGAACACCCAGCAGTGCAACACCAACCACCCACCATCCCACTCTTCCCTCACTGTTACCAATATCCACTACCAATGCCACTGGAAATCCAAACGTAATAGCAAATCCAACAAACAACACCAACACCAAAGAGACCCACCCACAATCGATACCACTGCATCTCACAATTTGAAACCCATCACCGATCCAATTCTACACACACTAGATTTTATTGTACATCTGAGATTGAAGCACCACCTAAACACAACAGATCTGGGATCATATCCCAAATCTAATTCCTTGCTTGAGCAATGATTGAAGACTTGGAGTTTTCAGATCTAGGGTTGGTGGTGAACCGTGGAATTTGATCTCTATGAGGGGTGGTTGCAGGGTTGGCTAGGGGTTTGGTCATTGGGTTGCGATGGCGTTGAAGGGCAGACGTTGTTTGAGTGTGTGTGTGTGTGTGACAGAGAGAGAGAGAGAGAGAGAAAGAGAGAGCTGGTTTGGTAGTGGTTGGTGTCTAGGTATTGGGTTGCGATGGCGTTGAAGGACAGACGTAGTCTGTGAGAGAGAGAGAGAGAGAAAGAGAGAGAGCTGGTTTGGTGGTGGTTGGTGTCTGGGTGGTTTTCAAAACCCACTGCAGTGGTGGTGGTGGATTTACGGATCTAATTCTTTATCATACGTTTTGTGTAATTTCTGAAACGCACCGCAGTGGTGGCAGGAGCTTTTACCCTAACCTCGAGTAATTTTACAAATTTATACCCAAATGGGAATTGATTTTAAATTATTTCTTAAATTCATAAATTTTTAAAAACGTCATTTCAAATAACGTTTTTAGTGTAAAAGATGTCACTTAAGTTCACATTTTTGTATAAAAATGTTATTCAAACAAATGTCTTTAAAAATATTTTATTTTTAAAAAAGTCAGATAAACCAACGTTTTTATCGTTGTTTTATGAGCCTCTCTTTTCTTTACCTTCTGCCTTCATTTTGTCATTTTCCTCAAACTCTCTTCCTCGTACGAAATCACAGCCTCCCATTCCAAGTTTGATTAGAATTATATTATTATTTAATGGGTGTTAAATTTCCATTAAATTATATTATTTAAAGTTTGATTAGAATTATTATTTTGTTATTCTTTTCCCCATTGATTCTTATAATTACACTTTGACCCCCATTTTTTTATTGTACTTCACAATTTCATGTAATGTTAATCAACTATAACACTTTGTTGGAGTCGAGAAAACTAGAAATACAATGGAAGAAAGTGGAAGAGGATGTGAAAATTCAAAGAAAATAATGTGTGGAAGGATGTTGTATTGTATGATCATGTTTGAATTTGAATTTAGGAATTATGTGAAAATTGTGCTTTAAACTCACTAAGCATGTGATTTTGGTCACCCCTCTACAGTTCTTTGTTTTCAGGACTCACGGGATGTTGAAGGTGGTCCACTGAGTGGTTTAGTTTGATGTAGAGGAGTTGTTGTCTAAATGTACAAAATGATATGTAATATAATTGTATATAGTCTTTTGTTGTTTTATCTAGAATGTAAAGGGTATGGTGCCCTAGTTGTTGTAATGCTATGTTTGTAAATATCAGTTTTAATGTTAAGGAAAAATAGTTTATTTTTGATTTTATTTTAATAAATGATACAATAGATCATTAATTTTGATTGTAAAATTTAAAATATTTGATATTGTATCTTTGATTGGAAGATTTTTTGTCTAAATATAATATTTTAAACTTAAGTGATCTAAGTATTATATGGGTACAAACTTTAGGAGGTCTAAGTATAATTTATTAACGGATATATTTACAGTAGGGGTCTAAATATTACGCTCGTACAAATTTTAAGGGGTCTATGTGTAATATTTTAAATGTCAGGAGATCTGAGTGAGTAAGTGACAAATTTTAAAAGGTGAGAGTGTAATTCTCCCTAATTATATAGAAAGCAAGTATGAAAACGTTGGTTAAACCAACGTTTTTAAGAAACTAAAGACAACTTTTTTAAAAAGAGGTGGTTAGACCAACGTTTATGTGATTTTTAAAAAAAATAAAAGTTTTTCTAAGACGTTAATTGAAGTGACGTTTTTAGAAAAACGTTATTCTAAATGATGTCTTTTTGGTATAAAAATGTTATTTCAACTAATGTTTTTAAAAATGTCTAGGTTTGAGAAATAGTTTGAAAACGGTTCTTTTTTGGGTATTAGTTTAAAAAAAACATGGGTTAGGATAAAAGCTTGTGGTGGCAAGGGCAGCGCTCTATGTATACGTGTGAAGACTGAGAGTGTAATTTTTGAAATGTGAGGGGTTTTCCTTGCAATAAAACTAAATGTCAAGGGGTGTGAGTGTAATTTACCCAACAATCTTTGGTAAATGATGTATGGTTAGAATGAACAATAATAAAAGAAGAAGGAAAATAATATTTAGATCTTAATTTATCTTAATCATTAAATTAGTCACG